ATTGTCACATGTTTTTGATCAATTTGATTGGTCAAATAAATAATCACATGTTTTTTGTATCAATTTGATTGGCTAAAGAAATTTAACATTTAAAATTTTATGTAGATAATCAATCAACGATTAGTTGGTTAAAATTGGTTTTCAACTAACGATTTGGATAACTAGTTGAAGGTTTGTTGTTTTGAATTTTAATTGGCCAATTAGTTTGCTAGTGATAAAACTAACAGCTACAATGGGATTATTTTTAACTCTGACTTTTGTAGCTATAATTTTTTTTTGGATTTACACTCATGTAATTATTTTCTTGAACAGAGAGGGGTTTTCGGGGAATTTTAGCGAGACTTTGCCTTTGATTGAGATTCGACTAAGGTCACGTTAGCGTGTAAGTTTCAAATAGAGTGACAAAGTGATCTCATAAATGTTCGAAGTGATTCTCTGGGCGTTTTCCATTCTGACTTGACTCAGAGAGTACGGTACCACCAAATTTTTGCGTTATCATTTTGTCACTCTTAAAATACGTATCATTTTGTAATATTATATAGTTCAACTAAGTCGATTATTGATGAATCTCTTTCTTTTTGGTTTTAGTGTAAGTATAGGTTCTATTTAGGGCATTTCTATTGTTTCTTCAATGTCTATTTCTTGTTATGTGTTATTTTTTAAAATCGTTTTTTTATAATTATTCTAAATAAAAGTTATATAATTAACAACAATAGAATATACAATAATTTAGTCAAGCTTGCTGGTTATAAAAGACTCTTACAAATTAATTTGATTATAAAATTCTTTTATTTTTTAATTCACGTTTTTCTATGCATAGAACTTTAATGATTTTTTTTTTTAGCTCATGAGTAAAACGAATCAAACTACGATTTAAAATATTTTCATGCTTGGGCATGGGTTATTAATCTGTACGTTTCTTAAATATATATCACATTTATATTCGCAATTCATTGCTTAAAAAATTTGCAAATAGGCATTAGGCATGACCGGTCACTATTCATTTTGGACACTTAGGTCATTTACTATTCCTGAAATAAGGTGCATCACTAATGTAGACAATACACCCTGTAAAAAAATTAAAACTCATACTCTTTATTTTAATCATCATCCAAACTTTATAGAATAGGGTTTCTAATGTTAAAGAATAAGCAATAAGCAAAATGTTTGTTCTAACTAAAAGTTACAGCTACTCTTTTACAAGATAAAGGTTAGGTGACTTTTGTTCTACAAATTTACTTCTGGAACATTAAACAATGACGTCTTATCTTTATATTATTCATCGCTATGTTACGAAAAATAGATTGAGAGTTGCCAATGGGAGTTTCCAGATTATCATTACGGGCGTTTGTCAAATTTAACTAATTTTTGGTCCCTAAATTTAAGTTATGGGGACACAATTTATTATTTATTTTGAAAATTGAACCCCTAAAAACCTATTGGCACTCTGATCGATAATAACAATACGTTTAACCCATATTCCCATACATCTAACTCATTTTCCCATTAGCGCAACCCATTGTAAATTTATCGTTATGTATGTACAGTACAATTTAATAATTTGCAATGACCGTCAGTAACATTGACATATTTATAGATAACAGAAACTTTAAAAAGTATATCAATATCATCGTTAGATCAGAATAACAACATTACATATATGCAAAGTCAATTAAATGACTCACAATCGGTGGTCAAATTTTCAAATTTTGGAGTATTTTATAAATCTGCCGCAACGCTGAGATAATAGCCGATAAGCCGGCTTAGCCGCAACAAAATCATCGACCCGGTTAAGCTTGTAAATTTTTAATCGACTAATTCTAATCAGGACCTTCACCACCGGGAATAAGCTTTTAAAAACACAACTTGTCATTAGATAATTATTCGTAAACCTAAATAATTATTATTATCCGGCAGTTACTAAGATCGTACTAACAGAATAACTCGAGTTCTTTTGATGATGATTGCATCATCATCAAATAACCTCGTTATTTGATAATGACGCAATCATCATCAAAAGAACTCGAATCATTCTGTTGGTTCGGTCGTCGTAACTATCTGGATAATACCGTTATTGAATGCTACGCAACCAATAACTTGCTTATGTGGCAGTTGACGTAATATGTCATTTCTGGGCGAGAAGTTGACATATTAAATTTGATAGTCAGATAATGGAGCATTTTCAAATAACTCCCGTTATTGGCTGCTTTGCATCCAATAACTCTATATGATTACTATTATTATTATTATTACCATAGTGATATTATTTCCATTCAACAAAATTTGATCTAGGTGGGTTGTTTTACGACCTTCTGGCGTATTTTCACTTATAAATAGTATAAATATTTAGTAAAAGTTGGATTATTGTGGTTAGAAGGATATTATCAAAGAGCTTACTATTCTGTTACATCTTCGAGCACCATATCTAGGATAAATTGTTATTAGGTTAAGAATCTAAATTAACGCGTTATTGTTATATAAATGATAGAACTATAAAACTATTAGCAGGTGTTTAAAAAGGATACTGACATAGTCATCAAAACCTAGTAAAGTGCCAGTAAATTCCTTTTCACTTTTCATAATGACCCAAATTTTAGAACCAATACATTTGTCAATCAATTCTATTTGTAAATATATAACCCAGTGAACATTCCAAAATATAAGAAGAATTATGAACCAAGAGTTATTGTTTGTGAAAATTGTAAAAGAGAAAAAAAAAAAGAACTCACCTAATGGGAGAAGTTGGTTCGTTGGGTTTGGGTTTACGTTTGTTACCGAAGACATAACGCTATTCTTAAAAAGAATACATCACGGAAATGATAATTTATAAATCTGCAAGGATCACGTGACCAAAGTTTGGCACATAAATAAATTGTAGATCTCATTCCTTTTGTCACGTAACTACAAAGATGGGTTTTTATGAGCTTCTTTGCATTTCTCGAGCTAATTTAATGGAGGTTATATTATTTGCATAAAGAAATAATAATTAATGCCGAAACGATTTTTAAATTTTTTTTTTGTTCCAATAAATAATAGGCAAATTTAAAGAATTTAGTTAAAATTACGGCCAAATATGTATTAGAACAGGGTGGTGTTGTTAGAGGCTTTGAAAATTGGGGAACTATGCCATTAGCCATAAGAACACGAAGGCATCAAGGATATCATAATGATGGACAGTACGGTTTAATTCATTATATATTATTTGTTTGTTTTATTTCACCTTGTTTTTTTTTTTAAAAAAAAATAAAACTTTTTTTATCAGTTTCTGGTTGATGCATTTTGATACCAATCCGTTGGTGTTGGCTAAAATAAGGAAAAAGTTAAATTCAGATCCTCGAGTAATTCGTTGTAATATTGTAAAACTCGGACAAAAATTAGAAGATATTGTAACGAGGCCGGACAAAACATAATAAGCGTATTAAAAATTTACGTGCTTAATTTTATATTGCTATCCTTAATATTTTTCTTTTTTTCTTCCTACCATGTTCCTTTGTAATGCATTTACAACATTGACACAAAAAATAATATTCACTTAAAAGTTTCTGTCGACGCGATTGAAGTTGTATCTCGTCTTGAATATAAGAAATAGTAAGTTCTCCTGTGATGTAAATTTAATGACATAGATTCAATTAACATCCACTAATGATTGATAATGAATAATTGATACCTTTAAGAATATCGCGGAGAGCTATAAACTTCATTTCACCAACCACACAATAATTTGACTCATCATTTTCTGGAATTGACAATCTTGTTATTTCTGATTGTGTTTTATCTTTGTCGTAATTAGCCTGAATTGCATCACAATTCGCGTCATCAGAATGATTAAAGAAAGATGTGTATAGACATATAACTAATGACAAAATTGAGATGTTTGCTCGTGAAAAAAGTTCTTCCAAACAAACATTCTTTCCCTTATAATACATTCCAAATCTACATTGCTCCCGATTCTTGAGACAATGCAACTTCAAGCAACTTCGAAGATTTAACAAAATTCGTCAAAAATTTTAATGTTTTAACCAATCCTCTTTAATATTATTTAAATAATGAGATAGAAATCTTGAAATTTGTTTCTTAAAGCATCCAGAAAGTCAGAATTGCTTGATATTAAAATAGATGTTTATTCATTTAATTCTGGGGAGTTTTCATTACAAAGAAAATTATTAACTGAATATTCTTTCCTAATATCTAGTTTCTCTTTTGAATCACACTTTTCTATTAATTTCTCTGACAGGATTTGTACCAACAACCTCGAAACACTTTAATATGCTTATCGTTAATATTCCATCTTGGTACATTACAAGTTAACTCATATTTCAAAAGAGGGTTGGTCGTACATAACTTTTCCCCCTTCAACTTGTTTTGTAGAGAAGCATATAATTGACGTCGAAATTGATTTACAAAATTCCGCAATTTCATGATATACCAGGAATTTTTATTGGAAAGGAAAATGATGACTATAACGAAATAGGGAACCACAGAATGAGTTGTTTTTCGACTATATTTGAGAAAATATATAAGTTCATTATAGCTTCTTGGATATCGATAGACAAGATGAAACTGATAGAAATGTTTCACAATACTACATTACTGTAATTGTCACATTAACGATATAGATAAAGGCGGCAATACTGTAATATAATGCGGCATTGCCGCAATACAATGTGGAGATATTGCAACTCGATAATTTTGACATCAATTGTAGGGAAGATCGGTTAAAGCACTCATGACCGCAAAAATAATAAAGGTTACAAATTTACAATAAAATTCAAATGAAACGGAAAAGGATTATATAGATTACATGTACGATAATACCATTCTTTATGATTTTCAAATGGAGATATTTGATAGACACTTCATAAAAGTGATGAGTTAAATTAATCATGAGTATAAAAACTTCATAGTAATAATAAATAGAAACACCTCAATACAATTTCACCTAGTTATATCTCTTTTGCAACAAAATAATGACCTTTCGTCGGGCGTCGGGAAGTAAGTTACAAATATAGGATATTGGTTAAATTTTGCCAAAATGAATAATATTTTCCATCAATTTATCTGTTATCGGACCAATCAAAAGAATTTGTCAATCTCGGACACATTTATATACTGATTACTACTGTGCTAACTCTAATTAACACATAATGCCAAGAACATGTATAAATTTTTGCTAATAATCACATCACATTACAATTATTAACTAAATTGGCAGATTTAACATCGGCTTCAAATCTATCTCTGTCTATTTTCATTCGTTCTTTACATTTATCTAATTGCCGTTGCCAATTAGTTCCCCATATAATAATACTAAGAGTAATACAAATGGCAAGTGAAGATGTCATCGCTCCAATCCAAAAACCTTGTAATCCAAATCCTAAATTGAAACCTACAAGTATACCAGTAGGTAACCCTATAATTAAATATCCAGTAACGGTGAGGCATGCACCAATATTTTGACGGCCTTTCCCACGAAGAACACCAAGCCCGACGCAGTTTAAACAGTCGGGTATCTTTATAAATTATAGTAGCAAGTGAACTTATTTCATTCGATAATACATTAATAATATTTTAAGCAAATATAATTGAACAATAGATACCTGGAATAAACCAACCAACGGTAAGACATAAGACGTAAGCTTGACTACATCTTCTTCCGAGATGAACATATATCTGTGTATGAAATTAAATAAGGAAATGTACAGTAATTAAATAAACTTACCGTATTTGCGTGTAATAACGGGCCGGGGCGTTAATTTGAAATTTTCCTTTTTCAAAAAATTAGTTGGATTATCCAAAATATCGCCCGAAATAACGCGCACCCACCTTTTATGTAACTTAGTGCGTTTTATAATAGTTTCAGTTTAGTTATTGTCGCGGCTGATGCTGAGATTGGGTCCAATTTGAGTCCACTAAACCTATTGACAATTCTAACCATGAATTCTAACCTAACCCTAAAAAAAACCCCAAAAATGCACCCAAAATCTCATATCAAAATATATAGTGTCAATTCTCAGCATCAGCCGATCTCAGCATCAGCCGCGACAGTTATTATCACATTACCCATGTGGTTTATTCAAATATAGCATAAAATTTTGAAATCAAAATCTCAAAATAACGCGCAGAGGGGCATTATTACACGCAAATACGGTATATATATTTGAATATATTTGAGCGTAACTTAACCCCCAATAATCCTTGAAAATTATCAGCACAGTTGCATTCAATAAAGCAATAGTAGCAGCGAGTTGCATAGAAAATTTTGATGCGGTTTTAGCCCTTTCTATCATTCCAGCACCCAATAAATTTCCAATACGAGCTGATGCTGCTACCGAAAATCCATATGGTATTTGATACAAAAGATTAGCTGTAGTAAGTATTATGCCTTGGGTTGCAAGTGAAATTTCACCAAGGTATCCGGAGAGAAGAGATATGAATTCAAATGACCACCATTCTGAACAAACCATCAAGACGCCAGGAATTGCCAATGTCAAAAACCGTTTCCAGCCATAAAACGCAGCACGTGACAATCCACCCCATGCTTGATATCCGTTAATGAATTTAGTATAAATGGCAAGAAAGATAAACATTAACCAATATGTTATAGCCATGGAAATAGGTGCTCCAATCAAACCAAGTGATGTTGGTTTATACAAAACTAACATGAAGGTTAAGCCTATGTTAATTATAAAACAAATCATTGATACATATGTACTAGCATGCATTATCCCTATGCTCAATTGTATAAAATTCTCGTTAATTATTAATTCACATTCGTTCATTAATTAGTTAATTAATTTATATCACCTTGAGCTTGCAAATATCTCTTCAAATTTTCAAACAACAAGAATGCAGGAGCTCCAAACAGTAAATATTTTAAATATAAACCAGCTTGTGCAGAAATTTTTGGATCTTGACCAATGAGTTTAAAAACTTGTTCTGCTTCCCACCAAAGACAAGCGAATGGGAGGAATCCTAACAAACTTATTATAACGCCGCGTTGTAAATATACACCCACCATGATTATCTTACCGGATGTATAAGACTGCGAACAAAGGGTATCAAGTGCTGACGCAACACCATGTATGTATGACCAACCGGTAACTACGGCACACTATATAGTTAGTTAACAATATTATATTAGTTAGGCAACAAAATGTATCAACCATTTATTTGGTTTAAACCCTCAATGTGTTATAATGATTTTCCCTAAGATTCCAGGCTGGAATTCATAAGAGCTGAGTCGGCATTAGGCAATACCGACCATGTCTATAGCAAATTGTCGTGTGGGCATTTTTTATTTAATGAATGATCTTTGGAGTTCCATAATAATAATAATAATAATAATAATAATAATAACTCGGAAACTTTGCTATTGAGATTAGTTTTTAGTCTCTAAGTTTTCAAAACAAAAATTTAGATAAATCGTTAATATTCGGCATTAACGTAAATATTTGGTTTTGTATATCTATTGTAAACAAAGTGATCAAATCCAGACAAATAGCAATCAAATCTGAACCAGGGCTAAAACGACATATAGTAAATGCCGGCCATTCAATAAACGTCGTTCTTGATTCACATTATACTAAAATTTTA